CCCATACTTAGGCCACTGGATACCATGGAAGAGAGAGAGAGAGAGAGAGAGAGAGAGAGAGAGAGAGAGAGAGAGAGAGAGAGTTGTTTGAAGGCCAACATCAATGCCATGCCATTCTCAGGAACACTATCCACCTTCTTTTGAGACAGTTTCTCATTGGCCGGGAGGTCACCAATTAAGCTAGACTGTTTGACAAGCAAGCCCCAGGAATCCTTTGTCTCTGCCTCTCTGGTACTAGTACTAGGATTATAAGCCTGTGCCAACATACCTGCATTTGGGGAAATCAAACCGACATTCCCATGATTGCAAGGCAAACACTTCACCATCTATGCCATCCTCCGGCCCCGGAATCAGCTTTTTGGTCCCCTCTGATGCCCAGCACTGTGGCAGATACTCACGTTATTGATCTGATGTCTATCAAAGTCCTCAAGAGAACTATCCCACACACTTTGCAAACCAGAGTGGCTGAAGCCTTGCTGCAGGCTCATGTTTTGTGTTCATTTAACTCTCTCTGTTGAGTGTCCTTTGGGACAACAGAAAGAAAAAAAAAAAGCCGGTCTCTTCTATTTTAAAACTTTACACCAGACTTACAAAACTCTAGGAAATGCCTCTAGGGTGACCTTGAGCAAACCGCAGAACATCTCAGCTGCCCTGGTCTCCTGGCCTCTGACACAGTTGGTGAGGGAAATCACCTGTGTGTTTAGAACACAGTGACTTGACTCTGTGCAAAAGGCAGCCCTTGGAAAATGAGCCAACTCCATGGCTTCTGTAAACGCTGCAGCAACTTACTAATGCCCTGCTAAGGGGTCATGATCTAATCATAACAACCAAGACAGAGACACATTCCCAGATTTACTTCCCTGTAAGCTTGGGAACCTATGGTGTATAATTGCATTATGGCTTCTGTTCTCAGGATCAAAGGAAGTTATTGATAATGATCCTCCAGGGACATGAAGGAAGAGGAAACTGCCTTGGAATGACCCCTCTTAAGTGCACACCAGGCTCCCCTCCACCCTGCACACCAGGCTCCCCTCCACCCTGTACACCAAGCTCCCCTCCACCCTGCACACCAGGCTCCCCTCCACCCTGTACACCAGGCTCCCCTCCACCCTGCACACCAGGCTCCCCTCCACCCTGCACACCAGGCTCCCCTCCACCCTGCACACCAGGCTTCCTCCACCGTCGAGCTCACTTTCTCATGTGATCCCAGCAGTGAAATCCAGGAGACGCGGATTAAGGTTAAGGTGAACTCAGTGGCAATGTCCTGTCTTCTTTTCAAAGAGCAGCCCGGATGCTGACAGCTCAGCGCCTAAGTCCACACTCAGCATTTCTCCAGTGACAGAATCAGCATGCAGGGCTTGTGTGGCCAAAAATGTGTCTGTCTACTAAATGGAAGCAGAGATAATCCCAGCAATTATACCCCGATGGAGGGCATTTGTCACGTTAGCGGCATTAGCCGGGAATAAGGAACCAGCCCTGCCAACACTTGCCTTAAGTGCTGCTGCTCAGGACATGAGATGTTTCGTCCTAGTTTTTTGCTTTTTTTTAAATCCTTTATTTATTTAGGGTTGGATGCATGCCACAGCCCTAGTGTGTAGATCGGAGGATAACTATAGTCCCCTCCTTCCACCTTTATGTGGGTTCTCTAGACTAGACTCAGGCGCTGGCCTATGGGAAGACTGCCTTTACCTACTGAGCCGTCTTGTTGGGCCCTGTTCTAGTGATCCAGCCTCACCTCCCACTGGGCAGAAAGGCTTGAACTCTGGTGGTAAAGTGTGTGTGCCCATCCTCCACTTAGTCGGGAGTTCTGAGAACGCAGTGAGTAGAGATATGAACCCTGTGAGGCTGTGATTCCCACCGTTCCCTGAATATGTTTCATGACTGATTTCTGACCTCTTGTTCACCTGCCTAGTAGTACAGGGTGAAATAATGCATATTAATCACAATAATTTCCTTGGCAAATAAAGTTACCTTGGTAAGTAACCCACCCTGAAGTTCCTACACTGCCGCACAAATCTGACCCATCTTACATAAGCTGCCAGCAGCTGTGGCCTACGACACTGGGTGACTTGTAGATGGCATCTAGGCCTGGGCTCTAGAATACCAGCGAGGTCTTTACAGTGAGACTTCAGAGAAAAAAATGAATTTACATGCTGCCCATGCCCTTGGTGGGAGTGCCATGAGATGAATTGAGTAACAATGCATACAAGTTTAGAACCCTTGACTTGCAAGCCTCACAAGAAAGGACAAGCACCATCCAGGCCCTCAGAGGAAGGGTGTCCCTCCCAGAAAGCCTGAACCAAATCCTGAGTCCAACCCATGCACAACCTTGCCAGAGTCCATGCCTGCCCTTGTCCCTTAGTATACTTTATACCTTAATCAATCAATATCTATTTGCCAGGCAGACAGATCCCATAGGGACACTCAGTCCAAGGACTCTTGGTGTACAGGACATCTCAAGGACATGGTGGGTTTTGACAGCTCTCCTTATGCCACGTGGGTCAAAGGGTATTTTATGAAATGTTCCTAAATAAAACTCTGAAGAATCCCAAGAGGTCTTCAGAGAGACCACGGGGGAGAGGAACTTTTCAAACAGGGCTTTCCAGTGTGGACTTGGATGAGGTTCCTTCAGATGTCAGCCACACCCACAAGGCTCAAGACCTTTCTACCAAAGGCCTTGCTGTTTTCTAGCTCCACTGCCCTAGCCTCTGACCTTCTAGGTTAACAAAAGAATAATAAAGCATAGTGGCGAAGCTCTGGTCTGTCCCGTTTGTACGCAAGGATACTTTCTTCCCACCATGGGACCTGTGCCCCATGACTCAAGGGCTTCCCAGAATGCTTCAGGGGAGGGCTAGCTGTCAGGTTCTCTGCCAACACACAGCTGTGCAAAGGGATGCTGGCCTCATTGCGGGCAGCGCTGAGCCCAGCAAAGCTTCACGGTGACTTGTGTAGCTGGCAATTCACGTAACTGAATATGATGCAGGGGATCATAAAAAAAATCTGGCAAGAGCAAAAGGTTTCGGAAATCACAATAAGCAAAACCGAATTCAAAAATCAAATGCACAATGGATTCGAGTTGTTTCTGATGATGCTTGCGTGTATCAGCCAGTACCGCCCACTGCAGCCCCGGTTCTGATTTCGCAGCATGCGCACTGTGTGAGCCATCACACCATGCAGTGCCACTGAAACTGTCTGCAACGCCTCAGCTCAGATTCGAGACCACGGAATCCAGGCATGGCAGTGTCTTTACTGTGCACCCGAAGTTCTTTGAACTCAGAGAAACTGGCAGAAAACAAGGACATTGGGTATTTTCTTATTGCTCGTCTTCAGTAGGTGTCACATTCGTGCATGCGTTAGAGTGTTGGATCGTTATAACTGCTGCTGCAGGCCTGAGGTTTACAAAAATTCTCTAATTGAGTTTTGGCTTAAGACGAGGGCAGAATTTCTAACAGTTTCTGGCATGGCTCTAAACATATGCCTGGTATTTTACAGTAAATATTTATGTATGTGAAGCAATGTTCTCCGTGTTGGTTATAAGATAAACAGGTAATCAACTCTGGAAAGGGTGAAGATGCCTTCCATGCTGCAGGATCGAATACCAGCCAGGGTTTAACTCTTTTTTTAAAAATTGTTTTTACTGAGTTATTCATTAGGGTTTAACTCTTTATATAAAAATAAGCAAGCACACCCATCCCACTAGTGTGAAGATTCACTTTAATGTTATTAAGTGGCGAATAGAAAGTATTGTTTCAAAATAAATTTCCTTGTGGTTTGTTATCAGTGAATGTCAGATTTGTGTACCTGTCTATAAGTAAACTCTCTTGGACAGTAAAGAATTGTGAAAAGGCTCAAGAAGCCCCAAGCTAAGGGAAGAGTTGCTTCCCAGAGACTGTGAGAGTGCCGTCTTTGGAGCTTTCAGATGGACCCTTACTATTTCCAGAGAACCGTGCCGTGACCCTCCGAGGAGACTTGATATGTGTGTCAACAGTGTGGAGATGCAGATGGGCTCCACCCACCCAGTGGACTGTCTCGTGACCACCCACCCCTATTTCTAGATCTATTTCCTGTCCACTCGGCTCTATACTGACTTTTGGACTTGGCCACTGTGGGACTGCAGACATGTCACCAGACAGCAGTGTGGGAAGAGGGCAGGCCAGACGGGCTTCATCTCTAGAATGCAGGAGTTGGAAGCTCGGTGACAGGAGCAAATAAAGTCAGGCAGTTTGGCCCGTGGGACTGTGAGGGCACCGGCTGCTTTCTGGGCAGATGAGAGTGGGGAAGGCCATCCCGGAGAGAGGATCAGTGTGTGAGCAGGAGCCGGGCTGCAGAGAACTTACAGGCCACGGAAAAGAGAGGGCACCCTGAGAGATGCCTACTTCTAGGAGCTTGATAAGACAGCAGGACAGTGGGGTAGGGGGTAGAGAAAAGGGATAAAGATTCACATGGTGGAAGCGGAGAACCCAAGGTCATTCTTTGACCTCTACTTGCATGGGTGTCAGGCACTGGATAACTCCATATTTTTTTTTTTTTTTAATTTGAGGCTGTAGCAGTCTATCGGTGTCAGGGACTGTCTAAGTTACTGTTTGCCTTATCAGACATACTGTTTTCTGGGCAGAACTTTCCCTTCTTACAGGTTTCATCTTACAGGTTTACTTTTATGGATGTGGAGGCTTTCTGCCAGATTTACAAGCATTCGTCCTGCCTCAAAATTATTTCTAAAGCTTTCCCTCTAATTACTTTTGAAGTTTCTATGATTTCCTTTGCTTTATTTTTATTTTTTAAAAACAAATACTCACTAATGGTCCTGGCTGTCCTATGTAGATCAGGTTAACCTTGAACCTGCCACTACCTCTCAAGTGCTGGGATTAAAGGTACGTGCCACCAAACCCAGCTTGGGTTCCTTTTGTTAATTTATTTTTAGATTTATTTATTTATTTATTTGTGTGTGTGTGTGTGTGTGTGAGAGAGAGAGAGAGAGAGAGAGAGAGAGAGAGAGAGAGAGAGAGAGAAAAGAGATTGTGTCACATGTATGTGCGTGCCTACAGAAGCCAGAAGAGGGCATCAGATCCCTGTAACTGGGGCTAGAGATGGTTATGAGCTGACGGATGTGGATGTTGGGAATCAAACCCAGGTCCTCGGGAAAACTGATGAGAGCTAACTGATGAGTCGTCTCTACACCCTGATTTCTCCCTCCTTTTCTTCCTTCCCTCCTCCCTCCCTTCTTTCCAATATACACCATTTTACATTCAAATCTTGATCCCTCTGGTATTTATTTGGGAGCTGTGAAGCAGTGGGGATAGGGAATGCTTCATTTATTAAGAACATAAGTCATTAAAGGCATTTTTGAAGATTTTCTTGTCTCATACTGCTTTGCATAGACATTTTTAAATGTCCTGATCTTTTGATTGTATATTATAGTTCCCAATCTTGGATTTTAATGGGTTGGATAAGTGGGGAGGTAGCCATGATCAGAATATATTGTATGAAAAAAATTATTTTAAATTTGAAAAAAAAACAGAGTTAATCTGGCTGGGCCTGCCAATCACCTGGCCGGATCATCCCTCAAGAAAGATGATTCACTAAAACCGTGCTGAGGAAATGGGAGGAATAATTATCTCCTTAGTGCCATGATGTGCTTTCCCTCCCAGGAGCCCCTCCCCAGGGCAGACGCTTAAATAGCTTTCGTTTCATAACAGCGCGGTCTGCCAGCTTTTCTGAGTTACCCAAAGCATACCTTTGCCTTTCCTTACTATCTTTTTCCTTCATGCCCTGGCCAATAATGCTAAGTACATTTTCTCTCCTCGGCACTGTGGGCTTTCTCACTCTTTCTCTGTAGCTCCAGGTATGCAGCTCTTTTCTGACCTCTGTCAAGGAGGCTTTCTCTCTTCCTCCTCTCCACCTCCTTCATCAGGCAGTTGCTGAGAGGACCAGTTAGCCTAGCCTCATGTTTGTCTCTTAACCTCAAACAAACTACTCTCAAACATTCAAAGAAAAAAGAAAAGTGAGTCATATCTGTCAGGAGTGACCCACCCGGTCCCTAGTCCTGAGTCCATCCTGTGATCTCGGAGCCTTGGTGTCTGATGGGAAGGCTGCTCTTGCTCTTTCTCTCTCCATCCTTGTAGGGCTGAGACACAAGCTGGAAGTGTGTGCGGCTGGTGTGAGGACCACTGCTCCTTCTTCCTGCACCCAGACAATAACTCCTTATTGAGCCACAAATCGACAGAAACCTGTCTCAAACTGGAGAAGGTCAAAGGTTCACCCTATTGATGGCAAATCAATAGTGCCACTCTCAGAAGAACTTGGAATGAGTGCGCATCAGATATCCAGACAGGAAGGCAGCAATGAAGTTATTCTTGCCACCAAGGGACAAACACATGTTACTTTCTGTTTTAGAGTTCACAAATGGAGCCCATTAAATTCTTACAGCAACTGCCCCCCTTCTCTCTCCCTCCCTCCTTCCCTCCTTCCTCCCTTCCTTCCTCCTCCCTCCCCCCTCCTCCCGCTCTCCAGGTTCAGGAGGCTGAGTGAGCTAAAGAGAGGATCTGCCTAGCATCTCGGTGTCACCAGCTCCTAAAGTATGTACCTTGATGAGCTCATGGATTCTTTGGGATGGTGACTGTCATATGCCAACCTGACCAACCTCTGATGCCCACCAACTGGTCAGATGTCAAAGCAGATGCTGTTGCAAAGGTATTTTGAAGATGAGGTTATATTTCAACACAGAGCCTGTAAGCAGATCACTGTCCATAATATGGTGGGCCCCGCCTCATGAGTTGAAATCCTTAAGAGAAACAGCTAGGGCTCTCCAAAAACGAAGGAATTCTGCCTCCAGACATCCTCAGAGTCAAACTTATAAACTCTAATTCTTTCCTAAACTCCCAACTTCCCTGTCCTGTAGATTTCAGACTTTCTAGCCCCCACAGTGAAGCAATTCTTTAAAGTCCATCTGTCTCAGAACCCCACCTCACCTTTTCTTTCTCTGCCACCTGCAAAGTTACACGCTCCATGCCTGGTGGCTCCTGAACCATTCCCAGAAGTCTTGTGGCCATGGAGGACATCTTGGAGAAGGGCTTGTGTGGGAGGGGCACAGGCAGCAGACTCCCTGAGCGCAGGCCCAGCGGGGCCGCTTCACAGGCAGGTGGCCTTGTCACTGGGGATCAGGTGCGGAACTGTGAAACCCAAGCGCTCAGATCCCTCCAGGAAAGAAGAGCTTCTTCTGAGCTGAAGAAAGCCCAGCTCGCACTCGCTAATGACTGGGTTCGCAACGCCCATCACTGCTCTTCACATTACCTGAACAAGAAGAAAGCAATCACGGAAGCTGAGCCTCGGACCCATCGGGAGTGTGTTGGCCATTATTGTGGCAGGTGTAGCTTGGTTCCGGCTAGTGATGGCTCAGCTCCCACAGCACTGTAGGCAGATAAACAGGGCAGTGGGAGGGTGGCCTGAACCGAGAGAACCAAGACTCGCTTTCCACTCTTTAATCCTCTTCCTCATTTTTCTCCCCTACTGTCTCTTTCCAGATTCATCAAATGGTTGATTTTAGAACTACAGAGATGGCAAAGCGCCCTGGCTTGTGTTCCCTTTCTTCATTTCACTGAGGGAGTGCATGTGATAGAATATTATTTAAGTGGTAAGGGCTGTATTTATCCTCCCACCCTGTGCATGCATGCTCGTGCGTGTGTGCATGTGCACGTGTGTGTGTACGCATGTGTGTGTATGCATGTGTGTGTGTGTACTAATCTGAGGTCAACCACAAGTGCTGACTCAGGTGCCATCTACCTTGTTTTTTTGAGACAGGGTCTCTCTGCCACTTGGCCTGGAACCAGCACCCTGATTTGGCTGGGTTTGCTGGCCAGCAGGTCCTGCAGGTCCCCTGCTCAGTCGACACCCACTGCAGCTGTCCTCCCATTGCTCCAAATCCGTTAGAGCTCCATCTTAGACAATGAAGGGTTTTGACATGCAAGAGGCAAAAATGTAAAAGCCCATATGTGCCTGCTGGAGACGTTGTGAAGGAAGCTAGCAACATTGCCAAGGCTCATAAATGCCCACCTGAAATTTCTCCCGGAGGCCAGTGTGAAATCCTGCAGCCACGCTCTCCGTCTGCACCTTCAGCCTTTGAGATCTGCTCCGACCCTTCCCAGTGAAACCTCAAGCCTGTTTCAAGCTGAAAACTTGCTCATCTCTCATTCCATCTTTCTCCTCTCTTGTACCAATAAACGGACAATTCCCTGCTTTCTACCCAATGTATATGTCAGCTGCTATCCTTGGAGAGGTGGATGCCAGGAGATGAGACATGTAAGAGAGGTGATGGGTGAGGTGCCTATAGACAGAAGTTTCTGTCCCTCCTGGTCCCACAGTCATTCCATCCCAAAGAAACACACAGAGGCTTATATTAATATATTATAAATGGTTTGGCCTCTTACCTCAGGCTTATTATTAACTAGCTCTTACAACTTAAATTAACCCATAATTCTTATCTATGTTTAGCCATGTGGCTTGGTACCTTTTCTCATTAAGGCCTGCTCATCTTGCCTCCTCTGTGTCTGGCCGGTGACTGGCTCTCTGCCTTTCCTCTCCCCAGAATTCTCTTAGTCTGTTACCCTGACTGTCCTTCCTGCCTGGCTACTGACCAATCAGCATTTTTATTAAACTAATGTGAGTGACAATTTTTTACAGTGTACAAGAGCATTATCCCACAGCAGATGCCCACAAAGAAAAGGAGGGAGATGGCTGGATGGAATGGGTTTAGAGATCTACCCTGGTACCTGAAGGAGACTGGCAATAGAAAGAGACAGGAAATGGTGTCCAATGTTGAACATGCCACAAAACCATAACCTTCAGCCTCAAAGCACTCAGAAGAGAGGGGAGTGGGACCTCTCTGCAGCCTGGCAGGGCTTGGAGTTAGGGAAAGAGTGGAGGTCGCTAAGGTGAGGTTCCAGGCTGTGTGCTGAGGATGCCTAAGCCATGGATTCCTTGGAAGGGGAGCTTCACAGCAGCTCCCACCCCTGTACCACATACGCCCATGTTCCCAAGCTCCCTCAGTTTTTCATTCTAGAAGAAACACAGTAGAGGAATGACAAGAATGGCATAAATCCCATGCTGTCCCCTGGTGCTGAGGCCACGGCAGCTATTCAAGGCTTTCCGTTCCCCATAGCACCTACGCTCCAGGTGGCGGTTAGTCTAGCACTATGCCCAGACCTTGGTCCTGGGAACCCTAAGCCATAGTGATGATGCCGAGACCTGCAAGGGAAGAGCTTTCACACAGATTCCTCCTGGGCCACTGCACAGGCAGCCCTCTGCTAGGAGCGACTCTCCATCCTGGGGTCAAAGTGCCCTGATGGCAGCCGTAGCCTGTGGTTCAGTGGGATCTTTGCCGTGTTCCTTTGAGTGTTTCCCTTGTGGGACCATGGCTCTACTCAGGCCTGCCTGGGAATGTGACAGAAATACTACTACACACTTGCAACAATCCTCTCAGTGAGACCACCTATGCATCAAACTTGGAAAGTGGGCTAACTGGACAAGGACAATGGGGATGTGAGGGTGGTCTGTCTGAGAAACATCTCTCAGATAGTCTCCTGTATCCCCAGGCTTAACTTCTGTACCCTTCTTCTGTCGACTGATGCCGGAGCCATTGAAATTATGATTTATGGGTCTCCCAGGACCTGGATCTCAGTGAATGCCAAGGTCAAGTGATGCCTCTGCTTCTGCATCTGCTGCTGGTGTTGCGACTTCTGTCTGGTCCAGGCAGATCTTCTGTCGCACCTCCTCTCACCATCGACACTACCAGTGCCACAGCAGTTCTCTTGGGGGGGGGACCCATTGTCCACCTCTGTGACCCCCTAGTGCTTCTTGAGCCCAGCTCTTCTCTGGCCTCATATCCAACCCTTCTCAGCACTGTCTTTCCAGAAGCAGAAGTCTGATCCTTGGTTCATAGTATACTGTTGGCAGCTAAACCGTGCCCCTTAGAAAGGCATACGGTATTCTGTTACTAACCTGCAAGGCAGGATGCATCCACGGTGGAATAGCAGCAAGCTGGTTATAAGGGGAGCTAACTGCTTTCTGATAGAAACTGTAGTAATGTCACAGGAAGCAATCCACACCTAGCGCTGTAACCTGGTCAAAAGCTCATGTCAGGGGAATCACGGGGCCTAGAAGATTAGATACACCTGTTGTTTTGTTAAATGGGTTTTGTGTACTCATCAAATCACCTTCTTACAAATCACGTTTCTCCCCACAGATGAGTACTGCTGCTAGATTTAGGCAAAGAAGTCTCTTTTTTGCAGCAGAAAAGAGTTACTGTAGAGACTCTCATAACTGGCCAAAATGCTGAGATTAATGACCATTGAATGCTCACCATAAATAAGGCATCTATGTTACCCTCTGCAGGTTCATGGAGCATCTCAGAAGAGAAAGCAGAGTGGATATAAGACCTCGTGAATGGGCCAGAGCATTGTGTCTGTTTTCCGTGCATGACATGACCAATAGTTTTTAAAACATTTTTATTTTTAGTCATGTGCATGCGTGTATCTGTGTGTGGGTGTGTGCATGGGAGTGTGGGTGCAGCGAGCAGAGGTGTCAGATCCCCTGAAGCTGGAATTGTACAGCAGTTGAACCGCCTGATATTGGTGCCGGAAATCAAAGTTAGGTCCTTAGAGAAAGATGAGCTCTTAACCATTGTGCCGTTTCTCCAGCCTGGCTATTGTGCTCTTCCGCTCACAGCAGCTGTGAGTACCTACACAAGACCTGTGCAAGTCTGAACCCATCAACGCCCTGCCAAGGGGCTGGGAGTATAGCTCAGCGGTACAGGACAAACTTAGCAAGCCCAAGGTTCTGGATTTGATGCCAGAACCAACCAACCCACCAGCAAACCCCACCACCAAATAAGCCACAGCCATGGCATGGTAGGAGAACTTTCACCTGTCCTTGGATGTGTGTGTCCGTGCAAGTGTGTGGGGGTGGGGTGGGGTGCGCATGTGTGTGGATCTGCTTGCATGTGTGTGTGGAGGCATCATCTGTGGTCTCAGCACTCGCTCCGCTCAGCCATATCTCACCTTGCTCCATAAAAGGACTCCAGGCAATGGCTGCTTCCACTGTCTGCCAGGTTTGTTTTGGGACTGACTTGATTGCTTGTGTGAGGAGCCAAGTCAGCCTGGGCCTCAGACCTCAGAGTCTGATATACAACAGGCCCCAACACGAGGTGTCTAGGGCCTGCAGGGAGAGGCACCACCACTTTGTGAATGCAAGTCTACTAACACCCAGCTATCCAGGACCAACTTCCAAACATCTCCAGACTCTAGAAGAGTCAGAAGTCTTTGGGTCTTCAGGGACAAGGCCTTAGCGTCGGACCAGCCAGTGTCAAAACTCTGAGTACTTGGGAATAGGATGGTGGGAGGAGTGGACCTGGGAAGACCCCCAAATTTAAACACACCCAAGCCCCATTGCCTCAAGACCTTTATCAGCTCTCAGTAATAGAACAAATGGAATGGAAGGTTTTGCCCCATGGAAGCAACACACAGAAGGGAGCTACACGGACCCATGGAAACCATCAATCAAAGGCAATTTGCAGCCAGTGTTTCAACAGTACCTTTGGTGCCATGAGCATCAAGGTTTAGTTTTAATTAGGGCAGAGTGGCTCATGTCCAAGCTAGGCCTGGGAATTACCAGGTTCTCACAATGCACCGACTAATTTGGCAAAGTGGCTTTCTGGGGAGCTATTGGAGCGATGGGGCCACCTAAGGCCAGCTGTGTTCTGTGCTATCCCACTGTGTTGTCCATGTAGAAGCCTCTGGAGGACTCATTCTGACTTGGGGTGCAGAAGCCAGGAGACCAAACATAATGTCCTGGGACAGTATCACAGGAACCCAGAAGCCCTCTACCCTCTCCTCTCCTCCCCTCTCCTCCCCTCCCCTCCCCTCCCCTCCCCTTCCCTCTCCTCTCCTCTCC